GCAGCTTCTCCGATCTTCTTTGCTTTAAGCTCAACTACATCCGCGTGACTCCATAAACAGCGGCCTAATTAGGCCCTTCCATTTCATTGGTAGCCTTTTTTCTATGCACAAGTGATTTCCTTACTTTGTCGTAGAGGGTCGACTCAGTGTTAGTATCCTCTGTCTAAATCCGGAAAAATGGGAAAACCACTCTTCTGCGGATGGATTCCAGAAATGGCACTGTTCTCCTTGTCTTTAAATGAAAAGGGGGAGAGAGGAGGAATGAGGGTATGGAACAGAGGGGCCAGTGTCATCAGTGTATTCTCAGATAGTGAAAATTCATATACGCGTTTTTTTTTTTTTTTTTTTTCACTGTTTGAGGTCAGACTAACACTGGTCAGAAGAAGGCAAGCATAAATTTTTTTTTTAACGAAAAAAAGTGTAACTTGTACATCTGTTTATTTCATGTACATTTATGTATAAAATGAAGTATCTTATATACTTTTTGTTGCGAGTTTATGCAGTTTTACGTATTATTGTTGCAGGATTTGACTGAACAACGGAATGCAGCTTGTTCTATCACCGCCCAAAGCTTTCTCCTTCGCTGGGATGTAATTTTAATTGTTCCTGGAAATTAATTCGCTAAATAAGGTATTGAAAAGTCATGAATTTTGCAAAAATCATGAAGATAGCGCTGGAAAAAAACCGGTAATTTGATAATGATGTATAAATTTAGATGTTACCGTTCGGATAATTTCTTTGCGACGTAATTTTTCGGCTTCTGAATTGAGAAGCTGTTGTAGCTTTTGTTGTTTTCGGATGTTCTTGAACTGAAACCACGGATCAAATGTTAACTTATTTTCTTGTTGATTTGATATTGAACCTGATGTATTAAAATTTTCATACTGCTTTGAAGTGCAGATGCCATTCCAGTCTGTCTTCTTTCACATTTGACAGTTTTATCCATTTTCTCGCCTTCTGTTTTACGTTTGAACCCTTACTGTTGTTCAATTCTCGTTCTAATTTTCGAAATTATTGATTTTTTTGCAATTCAGCCACCATACGACACCACGAGCGGTCTACTCTAATTCTTCGAAAATCCATCCTTTTCTATCAGTTCCGATTTGCGCAGCCAGATGACCAACTCAAAAACAATATTTCGACAATTCTCAATTTTCTCTCGATTCGCAACACACTGGTAGCTGATTTTCAGGCACCCTTTTGTACGCTGCTCGTGCATCTTAAGTTCACATCAAACTGTAAGCAGTCAAGACCTCTCAGTATTCGCCCTCTGGCCCAAGCATTAGCAAATGCCAACAGCAACCGCATAACTGCAAAACTGCCAGTGATCTCCTTCATTGACTTTCAACTTAACAGCATACTATTTGTCAATATCCAGCAGAATGCCAGTGGTCGTACTTACAAAAGATTCATGAAATACCTTCATCTGCATGCACTTTTGCTTACCAGCAAAAAGATATTATCTGATATGTTGTACTATCATTTTTTGAATTCTCTATCTATTACCTGTACGCGATCCTTTTTGAAGCGTTCCTGGATGTTACTGCACAGACCATCAAAAACTTCTTTCACAGCACCGGGTATTCGAATCTCTCGTTTTTTCATTTTTGCAGCCGGCACATCAGCAAACACACTGCAAATCGCGAATGTACTGAAGTGCAGAAGGGAAGGTATAAAAATAGAACTGCTTATATCGAGTACAGCGTATTTGTTACCTCGAGTTAATTATATCCTGAATTGACGGCAGCCTGCGAACTTCCGGCGAAAAAATCGATTTAAACAAAGGTACTGAAATTTAGCTTTGTTAG